AGGAAAATTAAAAATTCTAAGGTCCAGTTTTTCAATCCAGGATAAAAGTTTTATTATTACTGCTAGTATATTTATATATATGATATATATAGATATATTTTATCATTGGATAAAATTTTATCCTGGATTGAAAAACTGACCCTAAAAGAATTAAAAACTGGACACTTTATACACTCATTTAATCAAAATTGCAAATTATTTTAACAAGAAGAAATTTTCCACATTGTCGACAGTTGATATTTAATATAGTTTTTGTAGTTCCAACTAATTTTACTGAAAGATAAAAATAAAATAATACACTCAAGAAATAAAAGTGAAAGATGTACTTAAATGTGTATATTATAAACAATTATGAATTAGAAAACAAAAATCAACAAAATTTCTTCAAAGGATTAATAGAAACTTATTCAACAGGATTTAGCTCAATTCATTACATATATTTTTCTGAATTGTGAAACCAATGAATGGCCCCTATACACGTATATAGTAAATAGTATCTCATAACATTTTCATCGCATATAATGTAATGTAAACAAATTAAAAAAATCGAATCATACTGTAAAGCTATTATATGCCTCTCTAGTCAGAAATAAGTCTCTATTTAAATTGATTTTGCACCAGACTTGGATGATGAGAAAAATTTTGCGTTGCAAATTGTGATAAGGAGCCAGTGTAATGTTAAAAGTATAGCGCTTCCATTCTCTACCGTATTGTGAGACGTCCAATTTAACTCAAACATTTACAAACATCGTTTTTATCTAGCATTACGGTATTAAATGTCAATGTATAGCATTTAATAAAAAAAGAAAACGTTCCAAATCTGTATGCAGATGTGTAATATATTTAAGTTGTTTGAATCAACATGTCATTCTATATTGCCACGGTACTTGAGATTTTCAATATATAAAGTTAACATCTTCAATATGCTTTACCAGGATTCGTTTTCGAACATAAATTGAAAAAGTAGCTTTAACCAAAATTTCATCATATGTAATTATTCTTTCGATTAGAAAGAAAATTTACGACGTATTTTGACTAAAAATTAAATACTGTATAAAGACAATGAACAAGAGTTCTAACATGTTGAAGTTTGCTGCACGGAAGAAACTGGAGTGGTCGCAATTGTCTACTGCCTTTCACTTTGATATTCGTCTATGTACACTTACTAGTCTACATCTTATTTGAGTACCGACATTTAGCTATTACTACCATGAATTCAAAGTGAATTACTTTCCTTAAATGAATGCGCTTGACTTTGTTTTACCTAAAACTTTTATAGACACTTCTTTCTCTTAAATCGTTGCTATTGTTGGATGTAATACTATAATATACTGCTTGGTCATTTTTTTTTTTAAGATAAACTCACAATATAATTAATAAAAGTTTACCTTAGATGTATATTTTAGTCAAATATGTAAAAGTGGATAAAATATATGGGGCATTCCATAAAAAAATTGATCAATTAAAAAAGACACATCACTTATTTTTTTCCAACCAGAAGTGAGTTATGATTTTTAGAACAAAATTATGTTGTAAGCTTTCATTTTGTCAAAAATTAAGGTTTTTTTTATTATTTATAATCATTCTTAAATGATTTTCCAGAAAAATATAAAAAAGATTTTAAATTTTCATCGTGAGAAGCCAAATATTTTCAGAGCTATTTTTTAAATATTTAAAATTTTTTTTAAAAAACCAAAAACTTGTTGCTGACTTTTTTAGCAGTTTTTTTTCTTTCATATAATCTACTGTCAGACGACACACGAAGAATTTCATTAAGACGTATTGTATTCAAGTACTTGATGCACTATACATAGTTCATTAAAAATTTCAAAACAAAAAAATCTGCAATCTTCAATGTAAAAGCGTGAAAATTCTTTAATATTTTCAGTTACAATTATCTCATGTTCGGTGACGTCAATCGATTTTAAATTTGACTGCGAATTGTGTTTCGAAATCATCAAAAAGTATACAAGAATTTAGAATTTTGTGGCACTGTGTCCATAGAGCGACAATTACCTTTATTGTAAATCGTAATGATAAGAATGGAACTTAACAATTACCACTTTAAATAATTATTAAACTTAATCAATCTAAAAATATAATTGTTTTTACAAGTTAAAGTATGTTGTTTCTAGATATTTCTCCTCTTATTGAAAATTTGATACATAACTGAAATTATAATGATTTTATGTTGGGAAATTGTGCAATAGATATTTTCCTTCTCACCCTAAAAAATATTACCGACCGAAATTGCTCCACTCAAAAGACATAATTTTTATTAATATTAGGAGTAAAAAATTTGGGTAATTGTTTAGATTCCTGGTTTACAATCCTACAACCTATGAAAATAATATTGAGAATTTTTTTTCGAGCATCACATTTTTTTTTTTTGCTAAAGTTCATCAAAAATCTATTAATCAAAAAACAGATTTATCTGAAAATGTTAATTTTTCGATAAAAAAAATTCATTGATAGCCGGTCCACTCTTTTTTTCACGTTGCACTCACTTCGAGAAACGGTACTATCCTTGTTGCACTCATGATTATAAAGCTATTGTAGTTTTATGTTTTTTTTTTAAACAAATGAGAATTTAGAAAAAACAATAATTAAAAAACCTATTAAGGTAAAAGCCCTAATATATGATCAAGTACTAGTATATGATCACTCCATGTATTTGTATACCTATATTTGTGAATATAGATATACAAATACATGAAGTGATCATATACTGGTACATGATCATCTATTGGGGCTTTTACCTTACATAGCAGAGGTTTTTTTCAAAATTTTTTTTTGTCTAGGAGAGAACTATAAAACTGCAATCGTAGGGACCGATTATTAAAACATATAGACATCAAAAAGTTTCCATTTTTGAAAAACTTTCATTTCTAAATTTTTTGTTTTTACACAAATTACGTAAATGATTGAAAAAAATCGTTAGATTCATATATGAACATTTTTTGTTAATAATTTTCGGTCGACATAATACTTTTAATAACATTGAAAGCTTTCAACTCATTGACAAATTTGTCTTTATAAATTTTCATGATTCTTATTGTAAGTCAGTTGTAAAATATGATAATTTAGAACAAAAAATTAAATTTTCAAAATAAACGATTGCCAAAATCGGAAATCAAAAATAAGATTTTAACGATAAATATATTCATTAAATTAAGCAGACAAATACGGATGGTTTGACTGAAATAGTATATTTTTTTATTGGATTTCAATTGTTACAGTAAAATTTTTAACCGAGACACAATTTTTGCGACAGAAATTTGAATTTTTTGTTCAGATTGTTATCCTTGTAAAATTCGAGAATTGTAAAATTAACTAGCTAACAAGAATAATTTTCTTTACAGAAAATTTTTCTTAATTTAATTAAGGAACAAATAAAAATTATTGATATACTATTTATTAGTCAACAATATCATTTTGATTCTTCTACTTTAAAATAATAAACCGTCAGCAAAAGTACCTTAACACATACTTTTTTATTCTGCCTTTGTCTTCATTACTATAAACTGAAAATTTGCTCGTGTGTTTCTAATATTTGCATAGCCTATCACTATTTTTTTGTTTATTCCATAATGAATTTAATGTAATAATATAAATCTTGACTGTCAAAAGTGAAATCTTCTGAATAGAATGGAAACCAATATTACACCTTAAAGAGTAGTGTTAAAAATTAAAAATACGCCACCATATATATAGAATATTATTGTGAATACCGGGTGTTCAATCAGTAAAGTACATTGGTCTCTCTAATATGAGCTCTGGTTATTTTACTCCTATCCTTTTCTTTACAACTTTAGTGCTGTTGGGATACTACTATACTGTACTACAATGTGGGCAACAACTCCCGCGCCTTCTTCGAGCGATCGCGGTCCCCTGAGCACTTGTATGCCTGGTATACCTGGTATACCTGGTATACCTGTGCTGCCAGTTGATTTCTAAGCTACTCACGGAATGTAACTGTTTCTGAGCATGTTTATAATTTTTACTAATTTTTTTTATTAGTTTCAGTCGTTAAAAATTTCAGCCAAAATGTAATTATTGTTAAGCACAGTATATTATTATCAATATAACTTAAAATTAAATAAACATTTTAGTTGAGAAATTATTATTGTATATGTTCAACGTCATAAGTGTGATCAAATTCACTGTGTTAAAGTATAATATGTGATTAAATATCGAAAAATCGACTTAGTACAATTGTTGATGACATCATTGTTTTCCTTCATTTATGGGATATAGTTTTACTTGAAATTTCAGTGTGAAATGTGAACTTTTTGTTTTATAAATATTTTATGCATAAATAATATTTTCCGGGATAGTTCGATTATTCAGAGCATAAAATTACTTGTACGACTTCAGTCAATGATAGTTCAGTGTTGAGGTGTACACGCAATGAGTATTCTGTTTTCTAAAATCATCTGATTTTATTAAATCGGTTTAATATACAATTCTAAGGGCGTGAAATTATTTTTTATTGACGATTTTTAAACAATTTAAAATTCAATAGATGTCAAATAAATACAAAAATTGCAAAAGAAGAGTTTTTGAAAATTTGTCGAACGTCGACTAAAATCACATCTATGCAATTTTAACTTTATCTTATAAAATTATTAAAAAAACAGTATTTTCAATAAATTTATTTAACGATTATAAATTCAATAATTTAATAATTCCACCATACAATCTGTTTACGTACTTTCACCCTGAATAAATTCTTAAAGATAAAAATCATTTCACGCAGAGATTATCACACTATATATTACATAAATTGTTCTATTACATCTATGTATGAGCTGATAAATTCAAAAGTATTACAATCTAAAGTATACAATATATAGATTAATTAATAAAAATGGTGGAATACAAACAGAAGGTAGCACAACTTGTCGAATAGATTATACTGTGATTATTAATTGAATAAAGACAATTTGTTCATTTTTATTTGAAGAAATAAAAAACTTTGAAGTAATAATAATAAAATAATGAGAAACAGTAGTGAAGCTCAGCAAACGGCGGTGATTGCACCGCCTTATCTCAACGGATCTGCACAATTTATTTCCGGCGGATATACCGATTATGTATCACGTCAATCCTGGAATCAGTATCATGTTTCACAACAACATTTACATACACAGCAACAACCGAAGACTGGCAGAGGTAGTAGACCTTTTTCTCATCCTCCGCCACCGCCTATTATTCAAAGAAATAATTATCATAACCAAAAGAGTAATTCTCTTCCACGTTCGCATATTAATAGTTCTGGAAGATGCACAACACCATCGGTGAGTCAACGCTCTATCAATAACCGATGACTTTAATCGGTTATTTATTTTTTTTTCAATGTTGATAACTGATAAAAAAAAAAAATAAAAATTACTTATGAGTCAAAATGATAGAAAATGTCTAATGATAATAATAAATAATAATAACAAATGATTATTTAAAATGAGATCACATGAGCGCAATGAATGTTAAAACGGTATATTTGGAATTCAAAGAGATTCTCTTTTATTCCGTTCACAGGTGTCTCAGGAAACAGTCCGTGAATGTCTTATGGGTCTTAAGTGGCAACGTTGAAAACTTTATTATGAGAGGTTGACATGATGAACATTAATTTCCATGATACTGGAATGAACAGGCATCTGACAATTTTTAGGATTTTTTTAACAAATAAATTATTGTAGAGACATTTGAAAATAGAAAAAAAAAAAAAAAACGATTTCACGCGTGAGATATTTTGTTTTTCATGTATTTTTAGTTTTTTAATTTCACACTTATTTTCACTAGTCATTTAATTTAATTAACTGGCATATATGGTATTTACAATGAAAGAAAAATAATTGTGAAAAACATCAACTATTCATAGATTTCACTATTATATTTATTGACGAATCTAAAGAAAGTCAATGGGAATCTTTTTAAATTGAAAATTATGTGATAAATACTAATAATGTTTTAACTCGTTAAATTTTCTGTTGCAGAAGGTTGATCCCGAGCTAATATTTACAAAACAGGAAAGGATAGGAAAAGGCAGTTTTGGAGAAGTATTCAAAGGAATTGACAATAGAACTCAGCAAATCGTGGCTATAAAGATAATTGATTTAGAAGAAGCTGAAGATGAGATCGAAGATATACAACAGGAGATTATGGTGCTGTCGCAATGCGACAGCCCTTACGTCACTAAATATTATGGATCTTATCTTAAGGTTTGCACTAATATAAAAATTTATTCTATTTTATCTTGAGATTTCTTGAAATTATTTTATTATCATATTATAAACTTTTTTTATTTCTTAAATCATAATCAGTAGTTGATAGTAGAATTTAATCCTTGATAGTGACGCACGATATCGAAAAAAAAAGAAATCCTTTAGCCTTGTTCAATTCAATGAGTAGAAAATAATTTTCCAATAATATTTTATTTATACGTGATCTATCGCCTATGTAGCATAGTAATCTTCGTTGGTTGCATATGTTAATCCTGCCAATGGCCTCATCGTTTAACGAGGCATTACAGGGACTGGCCCATCAATGACTTGATATAATTATAACGGTATATACCTGATGGTATGGTTTCCTGCGCCTCGCCTGTTCTATTTTTTTCAATGTGTCTATTTTTTTTTATATTACATATTCGATCAATAAACAATTCTATTTTTTCCACTTTTATCATAAAAAAAATTCATCTTGATACAAAACTTAAATTCGCATATTTCAAACTTTTTTTTCAGAATAATTCAATAAATAAAACATATCTTAAAATATGAATTATAATTTTTAGGGTACTAAGCTTTGGATTATTATGGAGTACTTGGGTGGCGGTTCAGCTTTAGATCTTATGAAGGCTGGAAGTTTTGAAGAAATGCATATCGCTGTGATCTTACGTGAAGTACTTAAAGGTCTTGACTATCTTCACAGTGAACGTAAATTACATCGTGATATTAAAGCAGCCAATGTTTTACTAAGCGAAATGGGAGACGTTAAATTAGCTGATTTTGGTGTTGCTGGACAATTGACCAATACGACAAGTAAGAGAAATACATTTGTTGGGACGCCTTTTTGGATGGCGCCGGAAGTCATTAAACAGTCGGCCTATGATTCTAAGGTAAATCGTTTGTTTACTTTTCTAAAGTTTTCGTTAATTAATTAATTAAAAAAAAAAAAAAAAAAAAAAAAAAATATATATATATATATATTTATCTATTAATTCTCTGAATTTCAGGCAGATATTTGGTCATTAGGAATCACAGCCATAGAATTAGCAAAAGGTGAACCACCGAACAGTGAACTTCATCCAATGCGAGTGCTCTTTTTAATTCCCAAAAACAATCCACCTCAATTGACTGGTAATTATACGAAACAGTTTAAAGAATTCGTGGAAGCATGTCTAAATAAAGATCCAGAAAATAGACCTACAGCAAAGGAGTTATTGAAATTTCAATTTATTCGTAAAGCGAAAAAAAATTCTTATCTGATCGATCTTATAGATAGATATAAAAAATGGAAATCACAACGTAGTGAAGAATCTGAAACAGAAAGTGAAAATTCAGATTCTGAAGAATCGAAGCAAGATAGTGACATGGACGAACCGTGGATAATGACTGTTAAGGGGCCGCATGGAGCAAAAACTTCTGTGATGTCGACTTTTGAAGATCAATTATCCTTATTAAGTCATACTCCCAATCATAGATCAGTAGGCCATAGTCAACAGCAAGTTAAAGCCCACGCAAATGGTAGTGCTAAATCACCACCAAAAGATTCGCCAATAAACAATTATCGTAATGAATCACGTGATTTATTACGTGATGTACAAATGAAACATAATACACCGTCTCGACCTCATGAAGCAGCACCACCACCCCCAGTAGACCTACGAGAAAATAAAGACAGTCGAGAATCTCGTGATTCACGAGAGCTTAAAGAAATTCGTGATGTCAGAGATAGGGAAAATAATACTCGCGAAAAAAGAAATAGCAAATCTGATGTATCTACTACACCTATGACTGATCATAAATCAAATGAGGACAAACTACGTCCAAGAAGCTCGCAAGAACCTAAACATTCACGCAGCGCAACGCTTACTACTGTTATTTTTCCGATACTATCAGAGCTTCAAGGCAAGTATCAATTTTCATCAAGGGACAATAAAAGCGATAATGCTGTTACTAGAAATGGTGGATCAATCGATGAGCTGAGAAGTGCCTTTGAACTGGCGGAACGTACCTCGCCAGGCATCAATGAAATTTTCGTTAAAGAAATATTTAAGGCCTTACTTCCAGCAAACCATTCAGATAGCAGACTTTCAATGATAATGGAGAAAATTGCACTACGGTAAATAATATTTATTTTCACTTTACTAAATATTTTGAAACATTAATTTTATTAACTTGTTATCTTTTAGGGATACGTAGGAGCGACAGTTGGCGAAGAAACGCAAGAAACTAAAATTTGAAATTATACTATCTTTATAAAATAGAGATAATTTCTGTATATAATTAGGCAATGCTCAAAGGTGAAATAAGTTATTCATCGAAAGTGCACCGTATGCTTGGAGAAAATTTTAAAAAATAAAACGAACAACAATAATCGTGCCAACGGTCTACCCAAATTTATGCCTACATCAATTCATTATGTTTCAGTGAATTTATTCGTTGGCTATCTGAGGAAGGAAAAAAATTACAAAAAAGACCTGGAATTATTATTATTATTATTATTATTATTATAATTATTTTTATTTTTATGCGCGCTTAAAATTTGTTATTTGTGCGCGATAATCGTTTGATTTTTATTATAACTTCACAATTGATGTTAAAACACAAGCGATTACGGCCAAGAGAATATGAGGCACCAGTATTAGGTTTGCTGGAAGCCATGTAAATATGTATGTAGCTTGATAAGATATACTTATTGTTATGATCGACGATTAATTTCTACATAAGTATTAACAAGCATCAGATTTTATTAACCAACAAAAAAAGAAAAAAAATATGAAATAGGAAGCATTTTTGACTTCGAATGTAAGAAATAAAATTTACCTTGATTTAAATTTTTTTTCCAATCATTGTACTATTTTAATCTTATTTCAGAAATTATTTTGTTTAATAGGGTGAGAGTGTAGAATTTAATCTATGATTCATTTGTGATACTAAATTTGAAAAAAGTTATAAAATATAGAAATTTTACGTAAGAAAAAAATATTTTATATTTTATGATTTCAAAATGAATAAAATATAAATATTTCATACAAATTTTATCAAAACTCTTGGTCACCGTATTAATTTTTATTGCTGACATTGATAAATGTGTTACGGTAAATAATGAAATTAGGTAATTTCAAATGAAACCAAATTATTTTTTTTTTAATTCTCCGGTTATATAATTCATTTGATGTTATAATAAAACTTTTATTCTTGATATTTTATCTATCTCATCACCCTCTATTTAATATTTATACCTATTTGTTAACATAATCGTAAAAAACGACATTAAGATAAATTTCTCTTTTATTTTGTTATTAGTATTTTTTTTTTTTTATTAATTACAATTAATAATGTTAAAATAATAACTCTATTAATATCATAGGTGAAACAATGAATTTAGTCGATTTATTTATTCAATCAAGCATTTTTATTTAAATAAGTAAATTTTTAAAAAGCGATGTAATACTTTATCAATTAACATTATTGTCGAAAGAAATATCTTTATGTGATTTATGGTTATGGTATAATAAATCTATAAAATATGCATCAATATTTTGTTCTATTATAAAATTATATTTGGAGTAATTGAAAATAACTTTTAAAAAAGATATGAAGCAATTGATAAAAAATAAGTATCTGTTACAAATAATAATTATTTTTTATAACTTCTTCGTGGCCATTTATATTATTTCATTGTTACTTATGTAGTTATGAATATCAGTAATGAAATTGGTCATGGGTAATTAAAAATTACAGATAATCGTAAAAAAATAAATAAAATTAGATTCAACATAAATTAAAACAACTATATATTAATTTATATCCTATCATTTTACATTTTTTATACATTGAGAAGATACGATTATAAATGACTAAACAATTATTGAAGAATTATATTTGAACAGTGACATTTAAATAGACCAAAGGTTCAATTTTTTAATTTTTAGTCTTAGTAGGACGCATTAAAAACTATTTGAGTAAGGTATCATTTGCTAATTTACATTTTCAATCAAAAAAGCTTTTAGTGATTATAATAAGTTTAGTTTTATATATTTATAATGATGAGAAAGAATAGTTATGGTATTGATTTAAGCATTTTTTTTTTTAAGTTGAGTTTTCGGCAAGTTAATGTGTTTCATAAAAAATGCTATAACTTTTAGAATTTTTTTATAATTTTCCAAAAAACTATAAATTCTTAAATAAAGCTATTTCTTACAATGAATCCAAAAATCCACTAATGTCTTGGCTTTTTTGCTGAGAGATTCATTCAAAAATAAGTTGACAATTTACCTTTTCTATCATGCACACATATACAAATCTGTTTTATCAACAAAAAATTTAAGGGCTCTATTATTAGGTATAGTTTTCAACGCCAAAAAAATACCGGGAACAATAGGAAACTGTGAATTTATTACAAATTCCCGCCATTTCAGTTCCTTGGCTTGGTAGCGTTAATATCTACTCGTTAGTATCAACAAGTGTTTCAAAATTATACTTATAAGTACTTGTTAATCCCTAATTGTTTTAAAAAATGCCATCGGGAAATAATTGCGTCTTAAAGTTTGCAAAGCTCACCGATAAAGCTTTTGCTCCGACAAAAGGTTCTGCATTAGCTGCTGGATACGATCTGCGTAGGTACGTTGAAAAATGTTTGGTTATGCCTAAAATGCAACTGCTCATTAATTGTTGCCTTTTTTTTTTTCTAAAATTTAATTTTTGGTAATATTAAATACTTGTTATTAACAGTGCATATGATTGTGTCATTCCGGCACGAGGAAAAGAGTTGGTCAAGACTGATATTCAAATTGAAGTACCAAATGGGACCTACGGTAGAGTTGCACCAAGATCTGGGCTTGCTTGGAAACATTTCCTTGACGTCGGTGCTGGAGTTATTGATGCGGATTACAGGTAATTACTTGTTATTTTTATGTTAATTTATAAAATGAATAAAAATTAATACATTTTTTGTATTTATTGGCAGAGGTAACCTTGGAGTCATAATTTTTAATCACAGTGATGAAGATTTCAAAGTTGCTGCCGGTGACAGAATTGCTCAATTAATTTGTGAAAAAATTGAGTACCCAGAGCTTGAAGAACTGCCTTCATTAGATGAAACTAAGAGAGGTGAACAAGGATTTGGTTCTACCGGATTACAATAATAAATAAAACTGTTAAAGGAACGTTCATTATTTTTTCACTTTCATCATAACATTAATTTATTTTTTTTTTCATTCTTGAATTGATTTGTAATAACAAAATTTTGTGAAAATTAAATAAATATAAAAAAAAAAAACGCCATTCGGCCACACCCGAAATGGGAGGTAAATTTCATTGAATGAAATTCTTGATAGAATGACGTGCATAAGTCGGTTGTACTACACATTGCCTAAAAATGGTTCAATTGGACTTGAATTTGAAAAAATTACTAAAAATTGTCAAAATGTCAATGTTATAAACGTCAAATTGAAATCAATTTTATGAGCTATCACATGAATTTTTCGAAAATGAGCTATCTCTGTTCAATCAAAAGTTATACATCAATAAAGTAACCGAAAATGTGATTTTCACTATTTTGAAAATTTTAAATAGCCGCCATTTCTAAACTAATTGACCGATTTTGCTTATCTTCGAACTCGTTCAAGGTAATTACCTAAAGAACATGTGTACCAAGTTTCATCAAGATCGGTCGAAAACTTTTGCAGATATCCTGATGACAAGGTCGGTTATATTACATACATATATAAATTTTTTAACCAATGGTATTTTTGGAACTTACTTGACTTATTATAATATATGATAGCAAAATCAGTTGGAAATTCCACCATGAGGACAAATGCAACAGTTAGATTTCTAACAAAATCTACCTAATAAAACAATTGTTTCATTAAAATAAAATTAATTAGTTTTAAGCGTAATTCTTAATTGTTATAATTTTGAAAATATATTTTAAGACTATTAAATGCCTACCAACAAAGTAAGAAAGCAATAATTCTATGATACTGAAATTAGCAGATATCTGACAATTTTTAAAATTTTTTTTATCGAATCAATTACAAAAATGTTTTAAAAAATTCGCACTTTTAATTTTTTTTAATTTGTACGTGTGGGTTTTTTTTGCTAAATATTTATCATCATAATTTAATTATTATAAAAATCTAAAAAATTGTTAGATGTCTGTTGAATTCAGTATCATATATTCTATTACTGTAAAAACAAATAATTCTTATAATTACAATAACTATAACGAATAGCCTATTAAATAACCTTCAGCGATACTAGCTAGATATAGTATAAGTCAACATTTATGAGTACATATAAATTTTTTCAAAACGCATGCGTACCTGAAAATAGTTCTCGCAAAATGTTAATAGAGTTAAGAAGGGGGGACATATTATAGGCACATCTACTGCAAAGAATTTGATACGGATTACTATCCCTTTAGTGTAATGTTCACAACTGTTGAAATGTTAAGTACTCAGTAAACATCATTAAATAAAGAAGTTTCATTACTTTATGAAAAAAATGTCCTAAATATATACGTGCAACTTATCGGTTTATAGTTCAACAATGTATTATGCAGATAGTCAAGTAATTCTCTTTGTTGTCACGCAAAATACATTGAGCCAAACAATTGTTACAAATGTAACAGAGTGAATATAACATTGAAAACACGGTTGTAAATTAAAAAAAAATTTACTACAATTAACAACTCATATTCCGGGACTGTCGTTAGTTTGTAAACAAAGAATGGCTACTGAACCTCGTGTAAGTGGTAATAACACAAAACCACTTGTACCGCTTTTTCCTAGGGCCGCTGATTGTGTTTACACAAGCTGTTATTGGTAAGCTCAATATAACATAATAAATAACTGTATTTCTCGACCATAAGTATGCAATTACATGTGTACTGTTTAATTTTGTTGATATTAATAATTACGGTAAGGATACGACAGCAGATTTGGTGGATCGATATTCTGTAGGAGAGTAGGTTCAACTATATAATAAAATGAAAAAGTAGAGTTACTAAAGGGACCTTTCTCATTGTTTATAATTAACTGATGATAAACTATATTATAATTATATGCTTGATTGATTAAATTACCTTTTATATTTCAGGAAGATTACTGAAGTCAAACATAGATTTTTGTTCGAGTTTTTTATCTTGATAACAGATTTTTTTTTATTTTATGTCTTTTCACAGTACTTAATAATTTACAAGAGAAGTTTTATACTTAACATTAAATTAAAACATTCAAGTACTTGAAATATTCATCATTATAGTATGGATCAATAACACTAGCATATGGATTTTCTATTAATTATTATTGAGCATTATTTTTAAAAAATGTGCTTTAGTAAACTCATTTTGTTATAATAAAAATGTTAATTGACTAGATTAAAATTTTTTCAATGTAGGAATAAACTTGAAAATTCTTGAATTATATTTCTTGAGTTAATAATTTTTTAAGATCTATTTGCATTTGTGTTTAGGACTAATTTTTTTTTCTTCAGATTTTTAATTTGTTAATGAAATTAATGCAATGATCAGTTGTCCGGTATATTATAATCTCACAAAAGAATTTAGGTATAAAAATTTAATTAACATTTGTTTTCTTTATGTTTGGAGTGAAACTAGAAAAATAGTTTTTTATTAGCAATAATTTTGCCAAAAGAAATGCATTTGTTTGATTAAATATGGCAAAGAAGAATATCGATGTGTAAAAAACTAGGTATCATCTATAGTAAATCAATCAAAAAAGTTAACTCAACTTTAACGTAAATTACTATTCTCAATGCACTTATGAATATTTATAAAACACGACAAACGCTTTATGTTTGAGACTTTAGGACATGTAGAAATTAAAACTTTTAGGAAATACATAATTTATGGTGTGCATATTATATTTGAACTAAGTGTATCTTAATATATGTTTTTATACCCATATAAAATAAATTATATTTTAATAAAATTAGTAGCTATTATACTCAAGGTTAGTAATTTTTGAGTTTGCAATACGAATTTTTCAATATTAAAGTCTTCCCATCAATTCTTTAATTTGATGTTACTTTCATAAGTAGTGACAGTTTATCATAAGCGAACATGACTCTATAAGAAACTCGGTTTACTATTTTAAAAAAATAAAATATCGATACCCACATTCCAATATGTCAACAGTCACAAAATTTGACAGCATGATTTTTTTGAAAAATGAAATTGTAACAATATTATGCAGCTCATATTAAAAATGTAAAAATAAAATTGTTCAATAGCTATTTTTAAATAAATATTTTCATCTGTTGAATCCCATTTAACCCCTGTTAAAAATGGACTGTTTTTATAATCTGCTGTAAAATTTTGTAAATGTGATAGATTACAACATCTTAGCCCGTGGGTATCGACATATGGCTATCCGATGAATTATTATTACAACACAATTATGATAGAAATCTTCTATTTACAATAAAACGACGAATTATTGAGTTATGATTTTTTAATTAACTCTAGATATTGTTCATACGAATATCGTATAAAAAAAAAGAACCTGGTCAATTAATTGTGTCGTTCAAGAGTTTTAGTATTAACAACACCATACCTGTATATAAAATATGGCAATCAATTTTTCTGTTGAATTAATTTTTTATATGAAATTATTTATCAATAAACTCGAAGATATATGGAATTTGTTTATTCATGTTTCTGATATGCTTCGGTATGAAATTTTTCACTGTTGTACCCTTTTTGTACAACGTTTAATTCCCTGCAAAAATATGGTTTGATTACTTCGGTACACTGATCCGTTAATAATTTATAAATTTCCAATATTGGAAAATAATTTATAATTTAGAAATAGAAAAATAGAATAAGATAATCATTTATATTAATATTAAAAGCTTGAATTTCATAGATCCATTGTTTATTACTACTAAATATGTAAATACCTGATTGTTCTTGAGTTATTATACTAGGGTATATGGCGTGAGCAAATGTAAATGCTAATGTATTTTATTTAATCAATATATTTGTTTTTTTTTTTTTTTTTTTTTTTTTTTTTTTTTTTTTTTTTTTTTTCTATAGTGAGGAAAATGTATGGAAACTCTGTCAGGATGTCGCAACGAAGCATGCATCGGAATTACCACACTGCTATGTAGTTTTTATTAGTAATAACAATCGAAGCGTACCACTTTGGCGACAACGAGAAGGAAAAGGCGATGATAAAGTCATTGTTTGGGTATGTATTTGTGTTATTCTTTATTTTTATGTATAAGTGTGCTTCACTTTTAATAACTAGTTAACGTTTTATTTATGGATTTTTCTTTTATGTTCAGGATTACCATGCAATTCTAATTTATGCACCTGACGAACGAGCTGTGGTTTATGATTTAGACAGCGCTTTACCTTTTCCAACATTTTTTTGGAAATATGCCACCGAAACCTTCAGATCTGATGAAGCCTTACGTCCTGAATATCATAGGAGATTTAGACTTGTACCAGCGGCATTATTTTTACAAAATTTTGCTTCTAATCGAAATCACATGAAACGGAAAGATGGCACATGGATTAAAACACCGCCAGAGTATCCACCAATATCTACGCCAAGTAAGATTTTCAATACATTATATAATTAGTGCTAAAGAATAGTTGATATTACTCAACCAATAATTATATCACTTAATAAAACTTATTTATTAAGTAACGATTCATCACACTGTGCTTCTGAGCAGCATGAAATTTGAAAAATCGTTATTAAATTAAAAAAAAAAAATAAATTTACCGTTCCAAAAACTGTTGTTCTTTTTAACGAAATATCAAAGTAAAGAGTTAGCAACACAATTATTTTTTTAATATAAAAAAAAAATTAATTTCTTATAAACTAATTTACTAGTGTGCAAGTCAAGCACACGGAGCGATAAATGATTTTTTTTTTTATTAAGATAATTATCAGAGTTCAGAATTAACACTCTCCGACTTTCAATTGTTATGACCAGCCCCATTAATTATTTGATTATTAATATGTTGCTGATTTTAAAAATAAAATCTCAAAAATTAAATTTTATTATATTTTTTAAAATTGACTAAAATTTATCTAAACTTAATTTTCGATTCATCTATATAAAAATTTAATAAGTAATATCGCTATTTTATTATTAAAGAAAAAATTCATCTTTACATAATTATTAATAAAAATGTATGTATATTTTTTTTAGCCTGCCAAAATAATTTAGATAAATTTATTGATATGGAGCCTGGAACTGATTTAGGTACTGTTATGAATTTAAAACAATTAGTTAATCAATTTTATAGACCAAATATTAACCAGACGTCATCTCCAGCATCTGAATTCTCTGAAGCTGAAGCAGCATCAAATTGAAGGAAAGCTTATTTTACATTAAATAGTTTTATATCGTTTATCCTGACATAATTCAGATCGCTTGGTACCAATAGATGTATATATATATATATATATATATACGATATGGTGCCGCGACTAGTCAACTGACGACATTTCAACCGCGACAGTTCAACCTACGAATTTTTAACCGAACGACATTTGAACCGATGACAGTTTAACTGCAGTTTTCGTGATAAATTGAATACAAAATCCATGATAAAGGGCACATTACGGTAACCAGTTTATGTGTTGGTCTACTGTCGAATAAACACCAAATGCGGAAATTTCAGCGGAAATGCCTAAGCAAAGCTCCTGTTGAAAATTCTATGAAAATTAAATAAATCGTTTCAACCCAAAATATCTCAGGAAATGCCCAAACACAGCTCCTGTTGAAAGCGGAACTCAAAATTCCAATTTTAAAAGATTCTTCACAGAAATAGAATTTTGGCAATTAAAAAATGTTATTAGTATGATCTTGCAAAAGCTTTTAAAACATTTAAATGGTGTTGCGACTATTACACCGAATCTAGTTTAACCGAAGACAATTCAACTTTACGACAGTTCAACCACCATACATTTCAACCGCAGAACAAATAATTTTTAAATAAACACACACAAAATCAGTGAAAAAAGGGCACATGAAGAAAGTTTACATGGATATAAATTATCGGCTAAAAAATATTGTCACAAAACATGATTCAGATAAAAATTTACAATATCTGCATGATATTGCAGCAATATTATCTTTTTGATTTATTATAAAAATTAAATAATGATATTTTACCCATATAAAGTTTTGCTATATTTCTTTTAAAACCAAACTATGTAATAACTTTGAGAAAGGAATGGTTTCATTTCATTATACAACGGTTGATTTGCCTTGGGATTTAACTGTCATTTTGTTCAAATGTCGTCGGTTGAAATGTCGCGGTTGAATTGTCTGCGGTTTAATTGTTACAGAACCTATTTAAATTTTATCACACACATTATAAATCGAAAAAATATATTGAGGTCTTATTCATGTAGTCGATAAATTTGCAGCAACAGCTGTACATATATTTGTCTTTTTATAATAAACTCTTATTCAATTTACTTCACTGCGTCGAAAATTCAACTCAAAATATCTATTATTAACTATTTAAATCTTTATAAATATTATATAAATTAATTGTATTTACTGAACTTATTCGATAATGCCATACATTTAAGAACAATAATCTTTTTTTCTGCTGTTAAGAGGTACACTTTCTTACCGTAGTTTTGAAATAATATGTTCTGACGCATTAATATTATAACAGTATAAAATTGGTTATTTTATGATTATATTAAAGACTGATACTTTTCACAAAACTTTTTAATTTGTTTAATAATTAATAAAACGCACTTATTAATAAATTTTGTGATTTAATTACAGCAGAACAAAATATATATATATAGAATAATTAAAATTGAAGCAACCATTGTTAAATTTTGGAATTATAATGTGATTTTACTATACAATTACTATAATACTTGTGATACTTTACATTTTTTACTCTTTCATAATTGTATAAATATACTATCTATAATCATTTTTAAAATCATTACTATTTCTAATATTCTCAGCATACGTTTAATAAAATTAAAAACTAGGTACAGTTTTCATTACTAAATAATTCTATAATTTCTCTCTATAATGTTTAATAATTAATAAAAAAAAACTATGTATTTGATAAAAAAACAATTGAAAAGATAAATTTTCTAATTATTAAATTAACATCGAATTAATTAATGAACTCAATCAACGAATGAAAAAAAATAATCAACGTTTTGCGAAATCATTGTGCATCATAAAAGAAGATTGATTCATTTTTGTAAGCCATGTTTTGGAAATTATAGTCATCTCTTTTCTAGTATTGAAAATTGTAGATTTCAATTTTCATATACTGTGAATTTTAATAACGATAACAACAAATATTACTTTTTTTTCTGAAAACTTACAAAAATGGCAAAGTAACTAAATTACAATAATTCAATTGATTAAATAATGTTTGATAAAATAATAAAAATTGTTTATTTATTTGGCTTTATGATAAATCTTGCGAGCATTCGCTTTTAAGGTGCAGACTCTCATCTCAATATAAGTATTTCGTTGTAATGTTAGTTAATACTAAAATTTATCATAAATAATTTATCATTTCTATAAAAAGAAAAGATACATAATAATTAATAATATATTGTAAAAAAAAAAAACAAGGGTTGAAATTAAATGATTATATGTTACGTGATTAGATAAGTTCGATTGTGTAAACTAAACCGCCTGCGGGCAATATCATTGAATCAAATTGATAAAATATACCTGAACGATAATGCTGAAGTAATAAAGTTTTTTTTCAAGTGCAAATTAGCAAAAAAATTTTTTTTTTAATTTTTAACAGTCCAAACTGCTAATTTCTTTTTTATTTTATATCTTTTTTTAATGAATGAGACATCATACATCAAAGACAACCAAGATAAAATAAAGTTTAACTCTAGATGTCATTGCATAATTAAAAAAAAAAAAAAAACGAGTAAGTATTGAATATTTACGTGTATTCAATATTTATGTGAGTATTTTTGTTATATTTGTTTTTTTTTATCGTACACAAAAATTATAAATTTTTTTTTGAGAAAGGCCATCACCTTTTATCAATTTTCAATGCATTCTTATATAACTTAAACTTTGATCAACTTTATAATATTTTATTTATAAACTTTGATTAAAATTTTTAGTTTAAATTACAAAAAACACGTTTAAATTAATTTATAATATAATTTGTTTTATTAATTACTGTTAGTTTTAAACTTACTTTATTTAAAAAAATAATGAGCTAGAATAAAATTGCATCCACAATCGATACAGTAACTGTTATTCACAATTTGAACGTGAAATAAAGTTTATTTACGTTCTATAATACGGTCTTGCCATACTGTATGTCGACATTGGTATGTTATTTTTTGATAAATGGTGAGCATCACCTTGATCATATTCGACATCGTAATAAATACCACTTTGGTTCTGTAAAAAATATTAATAACAATAATAATTATTACTTAATTAAAATGTAAATACGTAAATTATTATATAATTATTTTATTAGCGTTTTAATCTTACTGCCAAAGATGATCTAGATTTGGGTCTGGGTACATGAAAACCATTACTGGGAATCAAGTCAGCTCTGTCTTTATCTTGTGGTTCTGAATCAGAACTATCAGGATCAGGTTGATATCTTTGCCTAGGCCTTGGTGGAGCTTGTAATCTTGGTAATGGAACTGGAGGAAGCGTACCATGACAACTGAGAGTTGGGTAGCCAAATACGGCTGAACTGGGTCGTGTGGGGCCTAATGGTTCTGTCTGATTAAAAATTAAAAATTCAACATAAATATTACATTAAATATCTTTTGAATCAAATTTTTGTTTACGATTCTATTGTATGAGTATTAAATGAAATCCAATTAATTTAACTTAATTTAACTCGATTTTACGAGAAACTTTTTTTTTCATGCAAGTTTAAAAATAATTTTCTACTTTTTTATTCTTAAAATAAAATTTAGATTCAGTAGATAAAATACATGTAAAAATAAATTTTTAGAAAGACAAAAAATTTTTTAACGTTGTGAATTTTATAGAAACTCACAGTATGATATCACTATATTATGATATCAATATATTGTTATGTATAATAATATGATTTCAATTAAACTTACTGCATATAAATTAGCTGTCGCCATACGTTCAGTTATGTGGCCCCATAAATAAGGTGGTAAATTAGGAGGAGGGCCTTGTTTTACAGAAGCTAAAGTACCCACAGAACCAACTCTCGCTAATGTACCTGGCAAAGTACCTGGAATCCCATTCTGCATGTAACCATAAACTGGAGAACCCATAGGTTTTTGATCTCTTGATAATCCTCGACTGGCAAAAATAATTATTTTATTAAATTTGAATGCATATATCAAATGAAATATCGATACCCACATTCTAAGATTTCGTAATCCATAAAATTGAATAACTAGTTTTAAATAAGTATTTTCATCCGTAAATTTTTATTTAACCAATGTTAAAAATGAACCATTCTTATCGTCTGCTATAAAATTTTTTAAATTTGGAATACGACATCTTGGAACATGATTATCAATATACTTAACGGTACTTACCTCCACATAAATAGACCCACAATCGTGAGAATAATAACTATTATGGCACCAACTGTAGCGCCAATAGATACTCCTAATACTTCACCGTCGATTTCACATTGTGTTCCGTAATAATTGCCCGTACATCTTAATAAAAAATAGTTATTTAATTTAAATCACGAATAATAGTATTTAATTAATTGTAGAACCGATAAAAACACTCACGAGCATTGCCTAACGTTATCTTGATAAGAGCAGGTCCCTCGATTATTACAATGAGACGAAGGGCATGAAAGACATGATCTACCCACTTTGTTCGGGTCATCTTTATGGGGGTCCTTAAAACCTGGTTTACAAGAACAAGTGAATCCACCCCAATTATTCGTACAAACTGCCGAAGCATTGCAGTCATTCAATTCTGAAGATGCACACTCATCTAAATCTTGCAAGCTGGAAATTGCTCCAGAGGCTGATTCAACGTAGACAGCACTATTGCCGATGTTATTGTTTCTACGATTGAGAACCCCAAGTAAATGCTTCTGAAGATCTCCAGCTAAAGCAGGTCTTGCTGTCCGAGGTTCATACGTTAATTTCAGTGTGGCATTGACAAATACTCCACCTCGACCTTCACTTGCAAGTCCTTGGAATAGATTATTAATCGATGAATCCATATATTCATCTGAGAAAGGTGTCATCGACATCGCAGACTCAATCTGTAATGAAATATATTATATAAAATTATAATGATGTCAACATATTTATATTGAAATTAAAACATTTTACTAAAATCGACAGATCTCAGTGAATTTCTCTAATCAGTTTGTTTTCTTAAATGTATAATATAAATTTAGTGTTATTAAACACTTCTAAACTTTAAAGAAAGTTTAAATATTTTAAATTCTACCTACAGCTTTATTAGTTTCGAATGCTATTGTTTGGTAGATTTCAGATTCTTTGTCAGCAAAATCTGGACTCCATATAATTTTCCAATCGTAGATTCTATCGACTCTTATCGAAACAACGATACTGACTACCTCTAAAAAAATAAAAAAAAAAAAAAAAAAAAAAAAACATTTATCATTTTAATAAGAAATAAACATAATGATTTAGTTAAATTAATTTCATATTAATAATTAAATACAAACTTTTACATAACAGCGAGTGGCTGTGTCTGGCAAAACCAGGCTTGCAGTGACAAGCAGAAACGCCTTGAACGGTGGCACAAGCTTCATTTTGACTCGCATCGCAAGTACTGGTTTCTCCAACGATACAAGTATCAATTCTTACAGGTGGTTGAGTTGTTCGATGACGGAAAATTGGCCTTTTTATTGGCCCACTTGGACGTGCTGAAACTAAAGTGCTTTCGATTTGTGGTTCTGCATAACCGGTACCGGTGACAGCTGGTATTTGCGATCGGGTCGGATGTATTTGAACTTTAGTAGCAGGAGTGTTTTCATCAGAATTATCAAACAAGTTCAAATAAGTTCTCTTTCCATCGATACTGACAAACCCTTGGCCATCAACAGCACTCGTAAGAATGACCTCAGTACCTCCTGTTGGATTTACTGATACCCTAACACTTTCACCAGAACCACCACTCGGTCCTTGAACGGCTGAAACAGTTATGTCAAAGATATCTCCTATCGGAGGATGTCGTGGAGGCGGATGAGGTCTTTGTGTTGCCAATCCTGGTGATTTAGTGTAGTCTAACGTATCATCTAAAACTATCCCTGGCCTGGGACGATAACGGTAATTATTTGAAGTAGCTAAAATTTAATGTATGCATTTATAAAAATATATCTGCTATTGTTGATTATTCTTACATAAAAAAATATATTTTACCTGAACTTTGATGAAAAGGCTTTGTAGACATAGAATTCGAGTTTCGGTTCATTGTTTTAACTATATTATTTGTTTTTGTCGTCGATAATATTGTTGATAAACCTTCTGTAGGAGTGGAAAACTGATTATTATTGCTGTATGTAGAATCCGTCGAAACTGTACTCGGTTCAATAAAAGTTTTTGTCTCACTTAATGTTGAAATCATTGAATTAATATTTTCTGAATTTTTTTCAAGAGGAACAATTGACGGTTGAACTTCAATCACTGTTCTTGTTGGTTCAATAACTTGAATTGAAGAACTAGTTTCGATCTTTAAAGTTGTTCTTGTAATATCTAATTGACTACCAGTACTTGATTCTAATGATTTGGACTCTGTAATTTCTTGAGAGAAACTTTTTGTTGGTTTAGTGGATGATCCTGAACTGTCTAAAGCTATAACCGAGTTTGCAGGACTTTCCGATTGAGTAAATATTGGGATTGGTTGAAGATTAGAACCAAGAATCAAAGTATTATCGGCAACTTTTTTATTTTGTTCTAAAGGTGGTTGATACTTTGGTGGCTTTTTTGTAGTAATTGTTTCTTCAGTAACTGTTTCAGAAGTTGGTACTTGTTTATCATTAATGGGTTTATTTGTTGATGTATTTGTTGGTTTGGAGATATCTTTATTATTTTCATTACCATAGTAATATTCTTCATCAGATATCAAAGGCTTGTAGGATGTATTAGGTCGTTGATTGTTAACTGGTCGTTGAAAAGGCCGATTCCAAAGCTTATTATTTTGCGGCCCGATTGGTTCAGGTGTTGAAATTATATTTACGTAAGGTCTTTGGGGTGTTGGTCTCTCTTGAATTGGGGGTAATTGATTGATCGATGGTCTTTCTAAAGGAGGTGGTTTTTCAAATGGATAAGGATAATCTGGAGGTGGAGGAGGATTCATACCGGGAGTATCAAAATCTGGTGGTAATGGTGGTAAATCTGATATTCTTGGTGGTCCTCGATTATTAATTCTGAAAAATATGTTTTATAATAAAAAATTTTATTACTGTTAATATTTTTTCTTTTTTTAACTATTTAAGATCAGTATATTACTAATTTAAATTTTGATACAAGTCATATCTCAATCCACACATTGACATACTACTACGTTGATCTTACAAACAATGTCACCATTTTTCGTTTACATTAAATCGGAAATGAAACTATTAGTCCCATATTTGATTGTTACATTTCATTCATCTAAAAAACAAGAAGGTACCTTCGTGAAAAATGATGATGTTGATCAAAAGATCAAAGTAGTGGTGTGTCAGTGTATGAATTGGGAAATAGTTTATATTAAAATTTAAATTATTATTCTTATAAAAATAAATAAATACTATACCTAGTAGCTTGTACAGGCTTGTGAGGTCGAATAGTGTTAGCTGCAACATTAACATTACCATTTAACAACTTAACTATGCCAGTTATAATGTCTTGAATATCAGGATTGGCCTGACGACTTCCTATAGAAGCGGTTTGCATGCCTAGAATTGTACGGTTACTATAAATCCTCGGAACTTCTTGACGACTTTGTCGCTGTTGGATTAATCCAGTTAGCTGATGGGGCTCCGACATAGCAGCTTGTCTTTGCGGAGCCCCCTTGCCTTCCCCCGAAAGGTGAAATTCTTTTGTTGGTTTGATACTAAAGATAAATTAAAAATTCATTTATTTAAACTTATTAAAAACATAAATATAAAAAACATTCATATATTTACTTACTCAAAATATTCTGCTGGTTTAACTTCAATATTGTTTCCATCAATGTCATTGACATATTTGGATGCAGTAATAACAGTATTCCATCCAATATCATGATTCCTTTCTTTAACACTTACATCTTCTATTCCTGGTTTGAAATTTTCAACATTTTTAGAATTTTTATGTTGTACTGTTGATTGAATTGTTTTATAATTACTCGCCAATTCATCTTCAGACTCTTTTTCGGGTCCTGAATAAGTTTTGTCATGATTGAATGAGCTTGCACTTAGAACAACATGATCTTCTGAAGAAACTAAATACGTAGGCGTATTTTGAATTGCCCCAACAGCTGAAAAATAATTTTTTTTTTTTTTTTTATTGTAATATGTTTCATCAAATGTTTAATCATTTCGTTTAAGTAACAGGATTCATAGAAATTGCTTGTCAAGGGACATAAAACATTCAATCAATGTGCAAGCTAACCAACGGTTTTCTGAGGGCTTGACGTTAGAGTGATTTCCTTTCTCTCTTTCTCTCTCACACACCGGGTTCTTTCTCGCATTCTGTTTTTTTTTTACACTTTACGGAATGCGTCTGATAGTCTTCTTTTCTATCTTTGATTTTACAGATTTAAAAGAGCTTAGTTTACAGATTTACTTTAATGTTGAAGCGGGTTTTCAAGGCTCAGATACTAAACATACCTGTTTATGTCAAGTTCTAAAGCTTATAAATGTTTATATTTAATCCTGAGTTCGTGAATTGAATAATAATATTGTTCTTAAATAATCAATAAATATCCATAAAGAAGAGTGACAATTTATTTTTTTGTATTTTGGCGCACAATTTACCAAGTGATAGCATGTGAGTACGATTTTTCTTGGTTTACGAACTCAAGTTCAAACATTTTTGTTCGATTAAACTTATGTATTGTTAGACGGTTAAACTGTTTATTCTTAAGCTTCGTAATCTTCTCTTGGACTCTGGACGTCAATTTTTCGTTAAATTATTTATTTTTGATCAGAAAAAAAATATCTTCGTTAAAATTCATATCCTAATAGCCAGTAAAACTAAAAAAAATATCTAACATCTTCACTTAAAAAAAAAAAAAATAAATAAATAAAAAAAATTGTTGATAGGTCAATTAAACAGTTTTTCAATTACCAAAACAGAGAATCTGAATAACTTTTTTTCAATAATAATTTTACATTCACTGCTTATCAAATGTGCAAAAAATATATATAAAAAAAAAATTTTTTTTTTTAAATAATTTATAAATTACAAGTTACTAAATAAAATTTTTTTATATTATTGGTTATATATTTTTATATTCGATATTTAATGCCCATTTTTAACAAATAAGTTGATTAAAGATGTATGTTTAATTAAACTGTATAATCATAATCATGTAAGTGATGAAATAAAAATAAAACAATAGTTTTTATAATAATTATTAAAATTTTATATATGACGGAAATAATTATATTTATTATAAGATCTATAGGTTTACAGAGTAAAAATATTGTCTACGCTCAGTGCGATCACGTAATAAATGCAATTATTTAACATAATTTAGTCTTAGTCGAATAAAAACTAACTGGAAAAAATATAATAATAAATTAGTGAATAATACAGTAGACTAACGGTTATGGAAAGTAGAATATGCCTTTGTCGCGAACACCAAACGCTAAGAATGTTGAAAGTATCAAAGAATCTTACTCGAAAAGACTGATTTTTAGTACATATCAAGAATCATATACACGCATATGAATGATACTTATATTAGGAAATTATAGTTATTGAATTATAATTATTTACATTAAATTATTTTCAATGATTTATTAGATGATGGTTCTACTAGTAACACGAACGTTAATGCTCAGGCCATAACATAATCGAAGGATAGAGACGAGATCCGTGGGAATGTAGGTGAGTTGTTTTACAATCGAGACTTGTTAGTCTAGAAGTCTAGAATACCTGTTTGTATGTTTATACAAACAAAAGTATATACATAAACATACAGATCAAAAGTTTAGCTTTTATCATTAGTTTTTCTTTTAGATTAGAATGTTTAAATTTACCGTAAGATTAAAGAAATGGGCGTGTTCCTCGTTAGTTTTTAAATATTAAATAAAAAATTTCATTCTAAATTTTATGCATTTAAACAGTGTATTAGATGTGCAAATGAAACAATTGGAACATTTTTCGTTTTTGAGTTAATTGAAAAAGAGTGTTTCTATTACTAAATTTTTTTTTTAACTGAACAAACTGATTCCAATCAGGTTTCGAAGAAAAAAATAAAAAAACCTCTAATCGTTCATTTGAAAAACGTTCTTTCTTTATTTTTTATTTTTCGACAACCATATGTCTCTAACAAGTTAATCAAATTTGATCTAGTTTGCGACATTTGCCATGGTTATTTGAAAATAATATAGCTGAATAAATTTTGAAATTGATACACCCAGAAGTTTTGAAAATTATTTCAAAGAAAAATTTCTACTTCGCAAGTAAATTAAAAAAAAAAAATAAATACTTAGTTTGCACTTTTTTTGTACAGAGAAGAAAAACATTATATTAACTATAGTAACGTAATAGCTACTGCTAAATTAATGGGTTAATTGTTATATGTTTAGTCAGTAAGATTTCTTATTTTAGTTGGTGAATTTCACTATTTGGACTTGTGGGTAGAAAAATTAGTACGTCAGCATTGTAAATTCCACTGGAGAAAGATAATATTCTTTACTATTGAACTTAAAAAAAAGTAATTGATGCAACTATATAGATATTATAATGGTTACTATATTGCCATGCAAATGTATAAGTATAATAATTACTGATAGAATAAAGTAAGAGCTCCAATTTGTTTATTTCAGGATGATTCATTTTTCATAGAGTTTTACTATTTATATATAATGATTTTAATAATTAAGTACCCTCCGATAATGCTAATGATCGTTAAAACTTGTTTTCAGATCGAACTTGAGAAATTTGAAAATAGTTTCAGTCGAAATAAGAATAAAAAATGACTGAATTTTGAATTATGCAGCAAAACGGATCGGTAAAGGCCAGTAAAATATATATGTATACATGGGTACATGTGTGAATAAACTGCTAATATATATAATTCTTGAATATGATGACTAATTGTGATGATTTTTGCATCAATTGAAAGGCTATTGTTAACTGTCAAAATTAAATTTCATTTAGAAACTATTTGATTTAAACCGGAAAAGTATTTTTTTTTGCATTCCTTATGAAATCGTTTTTACGAATGTTTAAAAGTAAAAATTTACAAATGAGACGGAACTCAATCATTGGGTCTTTATTTTTCATGAATCTGAATGTAAAACGAAGAATCGAAATGATTTGTCAAGTTTCTCGTGAAATTCTCTGGTTACATCCATGCTACAAATTGACCAATGCTAACGTTTGAAATATTTAAATATAGTTTAAATAAATTTGAATTTTTGGTCATTAAGTGACACTACTATATTCATTAGAGTTTCCTGATTTTTGTCACATATTTTCCACTGTGTGAATTTAATATAAAACTAGTGATAACAATCGAATGTCAGTAAATTCCATGAAATTCATTGTTAAAAATAAAGCTCTATTTTAAAAAATGCTTGACATTACAGAAGTTTCTATATCGATTTTGACTAAAATCTTCTTAATCTCATGAATCCCCTCTTGTCATAAATAATAAGTTTCTGGTAATGATCGTTCAATTATTTTAAAATAAACCAATCATAATTATGAATTGAAAAATGAATAAATTCTAAAAGTTCACATTTAAAAACAAATTGTTACAACTCTAATGTAGAAAATTTTTGGTTGGACTGTCTCGCCCCAAATATTCTTATTATACTTAAATATTAACAAAGCTTATTAAATTGAGTTGAAGCCAAATTTTAAAAATATTTGCTGCTAAATTTCAATTGAAGAAAATTGAAATCATTCATTTAGCACTGAGTACATTCTTATAGTATGACCTTTTTCGGCCTCATACGATCACTTATGTCTTATGTCCCTGGTGAGGTCGGTGTGTCGCTTACGCGCCATACGATACGAGAATGTTTTTCATCTTGATGGTTAGCCCAGCTCTCCAGGCTGTAACGGAAGACTTAACGGTATCTCAATATTTATTCTTTTCACTTGGCTTGCGACGTTTGTTCGTGAGTTTTATAATTCATTATTTTATTCATTATCACTTTTCAATTCAGTATTATATCTGTAGAGATTGGTAAATATTTAAAAAAAATTTCTTCATGTAACATATCCAACGCATATATTCATGGCAGTGATTTATTTAATTTCTATTTATTAAAATTTTAATTCACTAAATTTTTTTAAGCTTGCGACTATTATATACTTTGTAATTAAATATGAAACGTTAAAGGATGTACTTTAAATTACGATAGATAAAAATTTGGAATTATTCACAACAGAAACTCACTTTTTCCTATTAGACCAATTTAAAAAAAAAAAAAACTAAATTTATTTATGTGATATGCAGAATATCACGACAGTGAGACTTTCTCGTCTAATGCAGTTAACAAAGCGAAAGTTTAATGACGAAACACGTACCGCATGTCACTCGTCATAATTTTATTTTTTGCATTGTAAAAACAGACAATTTTTACATTTTTTAAAAGTTATCTTTAAACAAAATTTTTCCTATTAGATCTATAAAAATTATATTTTATTTGTTAATAGAAAATATTTTTAGAAATTTTCATAAAACTATTTGAAAGGAAAAAGATAAATTACGGATCAAAAGTAACATAAAGAGTAAGAAGCTAAAAATTTCAAACAAAAATTTAATCAAGGGGTTTTAAATATGACAGCTGAATGTTACCTATTGATTTTACCCTTCAGTTACACGATATTTTTTATATTCTGAATTTAAAACTAACAATATCATTGTACGCACATAATACCTTCATTTACATTCATTTACTCAAACTGATTCGTGCTAAAAGTTTTTTTTTTTTATATTTATAAACTGCTGTATTGTTGAATAATAACATTCAGTAAATATCAATGTTTTTTTATTTTCACATTTTTGGCTACAGGTGTTCAACCGTATTTAGGTCATAAACACGAAGATAAAATTATATGGTTCGCATGAATGCGAGCTCTGCATCATAATTCATTCGTTATAAAAAAAGAAAACCGGATCAAGAAAATTCAAAAACAACCATGCAAAGAATAAATCTGCTTGTCACGCAAAATTTATTGGCTTTCTCCTTTTTGTATGTGTTAGTTTCGGTTTTATTAATTTTTTATGTCTATTTAAATTAATAACTACTGAAAATTCATTCTATTATACAATTTAACAGCAGTTTATTTAGTTTTGTTATTGAACCAATAATAATAATAATCATCATCATTATATTATAATATAAATATATAAAATAATTTAACTTTCACCATTTCGCCGATTCTGTTATGCGTCATCAAGAAACAAAAGGATACTCTCGAAAAATTGAACAAAAATTCCAAGTAAAAACTTTCGACTGACGTCACTAAGTTCTTTACGAAAATCTTATACTAATATTAATAGAAAGTATTGAATAACGTCATTGGTACAAAACAATTTCACGATACCGTCTAAAATTACTTATAATATTAAAATTTTTTCCAGGGTTAAAATTATATGGAATAATATACCGTATAAATAATTATGTTTGGTTAACCGAATATAAGTATATTAAGTTTAGATTATTATAAATAAAATTAAACATAACAAAGTTATATAAAAAATTTACCTAAATTCTTAAAACAAACTAAGAAAATCACAAATATCACTGACATACTTCCAACTACTGTTTGTCTGTTCTTTAAAGTTCTTATACACAATCCTCCCATTGTATTTCAATTACGGCACTCAACAATACTTAAAGTCATTGAATAACGTTGCTAAATTTTAAGAAAAATCCATGACTTAACCAACCACCACCAACTATTTCTTTTTTAAACGTTAGCTTTAAATTAAGATCTTAGGTTCATTATAACTATTAAGAAACTGATGGCCTATCTTGTTGTACTATCCGTAACATTTTTTTCTTCTGTATATAATTCATCCGTAATTTTTAAACATCATAGTTTAAGTATTTGTTTTTTAGATTTGCTTACTATTCTTCGAAGCAACAATTTAAATTTCTTCTTGTACAATCACCAGATTCTTAAATCAAATGACCTACTTATCGAATTCATTGATCAGGGATACGTGGAGGTGAACTTGAATTGTTTCGTTTCACTGTATTTAACTTTTTGTAAATAATTACATGTCAAAATTATTTTGTTACTTTGAGGTAAAAATTATTGTTTTTTTTTTTTTTTTTTTTTCAATCTTAAAGAAGAAAATATATTTTTTTAAATTAAAAATAGTTTTTTGTTACAATCAACTTTCGTTTGAAACAATATTGTTCAGTTCAATTATTTGTTAGAAATTTTGGAGTAAGAAGGTCAATAACATCAGTAATGTATTGAATAAATATAAATAGTACTATGAGTAGGAAATGATAATGTTCTTAACACGCTTGGTTTCGCGTTTGCAACGCGGTCGTTCACTTTGTACTGGCTTATGGCCACAGGTATCTCTCCAGAAGGATGGGAAATACCCAGTTACAACGTCTCCCACTTCGATTATGAGGCCCACGACTGGACTATAGTAAACCCAATGCCACGTCCTGTCGCAATTACATATAGGTACAGGTGGATATATATAAATGGTCTGTTTGTTATATACCCTATTTTATCAATTAAAGATTCAAAAATTTATTTTTCTGCATACATTTATACCGCATACAAAATTATTTATTACAATCGTATTATGTTGTTATTAGTGGTTATAAACTAATCATATTCTTACAATTTTAGCGTAGAAATTTGATCAAATGATAATTATAAAAAATTTTTTTCCTTAATATCCGTTTATCTATTATTAACATGTAATTAATTGTTTTAAAAAGAACGTACAATTGTACTGAAATAGATATGTTACATAGATAAAAAAAAATAGCTTAGAATTTCAATATTTTACGTTTAAATCTAGAAAGCGGTTGACTTTGAAGGCCATTTCTGAAACTTCCCGCTTTTTTCGAGCTTAAAACGCTTAAAAATCTTCTATTTGGTTGTTTCTGAGTTCAAAATTCTGAGATTTGTTTTGAATCAATATGTTAAGATTTTTAAACGAGAATATCTTTTAAAAGTGTCGTTTGATTTAGATATACTTGTTAGCATTTAACTAGTTCTTTAATCCCAAAAAGTATTTATAGGGTCTCGAGTCGATTGCAGAAGAATTTTAAAGGTATCTAAAAAAAAAAAAAAAAAAAAAAAACAAAAAAAATTCGAAAATGCTTTTGTTTGTATTTGATAAAATCATTTTTATATTATCGGATAGGAAAGCGTTCTTCGCTAAAGTATAAATATTTATAATAAAAAAAAAAAGTTTACAAAGACTGAATTTTCCTTGGACGTAGAACATTTTTTTTTTTAAACCGAGAAATCTTTTACATATCTTAGAGAGACCTTCTAGATTTTGGCTCGTAACAATAAGACAATTTTCTGAAAGACTATAGGTAATGTTAAGGTAGTTGTAGCGTGAAAGCCATTTCAACAGAAAATTATGAAATTTTTTTTATTGAAAGATTAATATATAAATAATTCACTACCAAAATTTTTGATCAATTGACCGCACCGTTTTTGAGTAATTAATTTTCGAAATTGCATCTTTTACACGTAGAGGTATAGAGAGATGGTAAAGTTAGTATGAAATCTTCCGTACCACTCGAGTGGGCCAAAGATTTCATACTAACTTTACCATTTCTCTATACCTCTACGTGTAAAAGATGCAATTTCGAAAATTAATTACTCAAAAACGGTGCGGTCAATTGATCAAAAATTTTGGTAGTGAATTATTTATATATTTATCTTTCGATAAAAAAAATTTCATAACTTTCTGTTAAAATGGCTTTCACGCTACAACTACCTTAAGCTATGATGGAAACCATGACTTTTTTCCATTGCCAAAGAGACGGTTGTTGTAAGCAAATTTTGAGTAAATGTTATTGAAGTTAAGAGATCTGTCCTAAATTTCATGTCATAAGAACTCTTAGTTTATAAATAACTTTTTCTTCATACTACCTACCAATTTAACACAATCTATATATAATCAATTTTCGCGAAATTCGTTTGTAGCAGACATCAGTAGTTATTGCGAAAAAAAATTTCAAATCGGTTAATCCTAGAGACCATGCCTGAAACTTCCCACTTCTTACAAGCTCCAAAGATCTAAGTCGTAATGAACACTTTCGATCGCTGTGTCCCTTATTCGAATTCTTACATTCGTTCTAAAGATTTGGTACGACAAATTTTGATTTACACATGCTTATTAGACGCACACACATACACACACGGCCGGAAATTTAGCCAGGAATCGTCGAAACGGCTTCCCAGAACCTCAAAACGTAGCGATCTGATGAAAACTTACATTCTCAAAATCAGACCGAGATCAATAGCTTTCAACTTTCCATAATTCTTACTTTTCGAAAGAGGATGTTAAAAAAATGACAAATAAAAATTTTCCTGATTCAAAAATTTAACACTGAAAAATTATTACTTAAGAAATAGCAATTTTTTTATGTCACTCATCATTTTCCCATAATTATTCTCAAAAGCTGATTTTCACAAAAATTGTTTCTAGGGAATCTTCACTCAGTAAGAAGAATATACTTGTCGAATTCTAAATCGTTCAATTTAATAGTTTTGCAAACCGAGAAATGTATGACTAATGATATCTTTTTCTACTATATAAGCATTTATAAGAAGAAAAATATAAAATACATCATCCCCGTGATTCTCGATTCGCAGTCAAATATCTCAAAATCTGTCATCAGTCAATTTTTGTGTGGCTGAAGAAATACCCCTGCAAAGGTTCGAATTTATAGGATTTATGACCTTATGAAATCTTAATTTTATCATATAACGTCCCGGCAGTTTCTTTTGATGGTAAAATTTCGTAAAACTTGTTTTAGCTGATGTATACGTAAAAGAAGAATAATTTCTAATTTAATGTCTGTAGGAACTGTATACTTTAAGAATATGAATGTTTTCTAATCAACAGCCCCACAATTCTGTGTGGAGGTATGAAATTGCGAAAAATCTATTTTTAGTTGATGATGTCTACATGATAAAAGAAATAATCCTATCGATTTCAAATCGGTGAGAGCTAAAGTTTAAGAAAAGTATTTTTTTTATATTAATGCCCCCTCCTCCCCAATCCATTGTGGGGCCAGAATTTCGTAAAATTTAGGGTTCGTAGGAGCTAAAGCTTGAAAATTGAAAATTTTCATTCTTAATAACCACCTCCAAAATCCCCTTTGGGAGTGAGATGTTGAAAGATTCGTTTTAAGATCATTTTTACATCACATGTAGAATATTATTCTACTACATCTGATGGAGTCTGTAGGAGCTATAGTTTGGAAACGTACATTTTTCAATATCAACGCCCTCGCAAGCTCTTTGGGAAACAGAATTATGTAAAATCCGTTCTTAGCTGACTTCCTATGATTTAGCTGAAGTCCTATAATTCTCGAGGTCTCATGAAGAGTCACTATATACTTGAAAATGTCTTTTAATTATGCATAGATGATCTATGATAGATCTAAAGAGGCCGCTGTAGACACCAGTGAATACGGACGTGTGATTTGTTGTGTGAACAAAAATTCTAAGAAAAAAGCGTTTAAAAAGAATTCTTATAATTGGTGGTAAGCAGGATTGGAAAAAGAAATTTGCGAAGTTCAAAGTGGTGTATAAAAAATAAGGGAAATCAAAGGGTGAAAGGCGATAATGGAAGCGGAACAAAAGCAGAAGAAAGATGAGGTTAGGGAAAATGAGAAAGATTTGGAGGGAAAGAAAACGGAAATAGTTCATAAAGGTGATCAAGAGAGCAGCACATACCGGGATAAGAAAAAGTGACGAGGAAGAGTGAGACAGATAGGCAAATTATCCAGGAGAATGGGCAAGAGATGGATAAGGAAGTAAGAGCAGGGAAAGCATGGGCGCAAAATTTTGAAGAAGTAAAGGGAAGACTAGAGAAAATTGGATGGATTGGTTAACAGAATTAGGGAAGAAGTAGAAAAGACAATGAGACAAGAAATAGTAAGAATTGAAGTACATCTACAGAGGAGCAACTTCAGGTGTAAGGAAGAACGAAAAAAGATAGAAAGAAAATTCAAACAAGAAATTGCTAGATATAAAGATGAAATCGAGAAAAAAATAAAGATAACAAAAAAAAAAGAGATAGTGAAATAAAAGCATTAAACGAGAGAGTAAGACGGGAAATTAGAAGAGAAGATATAAGTACAAATAATGAAGAACGAAATAGACAAGAAATCCAGCCCAATAAAATCCCCCAACAAGAAAGTACAGGACGAAGAAGAATTTTTCCTGCTAGACAATGTTATTGAGGGATATGGTGATACAATTTCAAGTCAAATAAGGAAAATAAGAAAAGAGTGGGAAGAGAAGGAAAGAGTAAATGAGGCATCTACATAATTATTGAATTGTTAGGTACATTTAAATAATAAATAAATAAGTCCCAACATAAAATTGAGATGAAATATATGTGAAGTATATTTATTCGTAATGTGATTGGTCAAATATATCATAAGCATGAAAATATATGCAAACTCTATAATCAGGTGCGCGCTTGCGCGCGCATATTAAACTCTAGTATTTATAAATAAATATTCGTATACTTATGAATTTTTTAAATCCGACGTACTACATTTTTTTTAAAACTTTCAAAACTTCATATCATAAAAACTTCATGAGATTAAAGGCTAACAATTTATAGGCAAGCATCTTTTGATACATATAAAAAAATTTCACAAATTCACAGCTAAATAAAAAAATATGATTTTCAAATCCGGTAATTTTGGTATAGAATGACCCATTTATGCACTTACTTTATAATTATGTTTACCACTTGGTATACTTATAGCTGTGGAACAGTGATTAGTCACTGTTTCAAATTTAGAGAGTATTGAAATGAATTAGAGATATTGAAGATTCATTGAAAAATAATGCCGACCATATCAGGCCATACATTGTCTATACAATTAAATAAAAAAAAATCAACGATAATGATGTACAAGTAAGATTTTTACCTTTTTTAACCATAAGAAATCGAAAAATTGTCATACATAATTATAATTTTTCGTTTTTTTTTTTTCTCGTCTTGTGAACCAAAAATTGTAACTCAAAAATTACTTTATATACTATGTATGTATTCATTTATTTTACTCCAAAGTAGCGAAAAAAAATTTTTTTTTGCTACTAAACAATTAGTACCTTGAAAATTTTAGGATATTTCAAGATCAAGAAAAGCTCATATATAAAAAATATAGTAAAACCGAAAATTTAAAAGTGAATAAATTTTCGCAATTGTTTAATGACATTTAAGATTACAAACATCTGACAATTTTTAGATTTTTTTATAACAAATAAACAGTTATAAAAAAAAATTGAAAAAAAATATTTTAAAAGTTATGAATAAATGCTAAGGTTCCACGAATTACGAACGGTCTTTTCATCATAGAACTGCTGATAAGTCAACATTTATTTACCATCTGTAGTTAGTGACGCAACAGAACGAATATACTGTTTTTCGACAGTGATTTCACCCTACTACAACCCTAACTAGATAGTGAAATAGCCGTCACGTGAAACGACCGTGAATCAACCATCTTTTCACTATGGAGTCACCGCGGATTTACCGTAAGCATGAAACCACCAGGGCAGGATATTCTTGAGATTGTTTAACTATGCTCGATTTTACTTGGTATGTATACGCATCCCGAGTAAAAAAGATTTTATATAATTAGATACGATTATATATAATTGTATATCGTCTATATATAATTGGATATAATTTATATATAATTCTATATAATTATATCCAATTATATAAAATTATTCCAAATCATGAAGAAGAATTATATAAAATTATATATAATTAAATACAATTGTATAGAGTTATATCTAAGTAGACACAATTGTATAAAATTATATAAAATTTTATGTGATTTGCCTTCACAACTTTATAAAATTTTATGAAATTGTATAAAATTATATATAATGAGATACATTTATATAGAATTTGACGGAATTCTCTTTAACAATTATAGATAGTTTTATATAATCAGATACAATGATATATAATTGGATACAACTTTGTATAATTGTATAGAATTCGTGGTCTTGAAAGATATTTCCGCAATTTTATGTAAGTACAGACGTTTATCTATCTGTTATCAATTTTACAGGATTCAATATATTGTGATTAGTATATGACGTCTTCTTTTTTTAAGTTAAACCAAAAGTCTGTTTCTCCAATGAATAAGAATCGGCAAATTTACATTTTTAAGTTTTTTTAATTAATATATTTTATGGCAGATTTACGGTATAAATTATAAAAAAGGTAAAATGTATAAATTTAAAAAAAAAATTTCGAAGTTGCTCTAAAAACTCTTTATTTAATTTTGTACTGTTCAATTTTTTCACAAAATATTTTTTAATTGAGAAATTGATATTTTTGAATTTTTTATTTATAAAATTAATTTTTTTATCAATTAAGTAAAAATAAATGAATTTCATATATTTTTCAAATTACTCAACATTTTTAAGAAACTTTAAAAAAAAAAAATTACTGTTGTCGTAGAACCAATCGGCTACCGTTTTTTATCTGGTTTAAAATTTATAAAAATTTTTTTTTTATTTTCTAAATACAATATGAAATTGATATTATTATTGTTTTTCATGCAATATTATGTCAAATGAAAAAATCTTTTGCGTATTATTTACATTTTCATCATGAAATTTAATTTTCAGTTATTTATTGATGTATTATTGAAATTATTTGAAAATTTTGGAAAAAATTAAAATAATCAATGAAATATTATAAATCTGACAACATATTAGTTAGTTACTAAGACTTCGCCATGGAGCAATCACATGTTCCGCACTGTCAAAACTAGTATTAAAAGTCTTCGGTAGATGGCGCATGGTCGCGGAATTGTACTTTTCTAGATACTTAACTAAAGTGTTAAGTTCCAAAAAGAGTAGAATTTTTTTACTCCATTTCAGAGTTTACCTGTTTTTCAATAAAGTTGAATAAACAACGAAAAATACTAAAATAAATTTCATATTAACTTCGAATTAGTGTTATATATATTTTTAATAATTATGAATAATTTATAAATAATTAATTAATTAATAATGAATAATTTATAAATTACATTAAAAATTTTGTTCATCACGAATCGATCATGTATACGATTTTGAGTACTTATAGTTATTACAAACTCTGAACTTCAAGGAAGTCTAGTAGGTAAACAGGTAGTGAATCAGTCTTCCAAGCATCAGGTCCCAGGTTCGATTTCTGCCCACGCCAGATATTTTTATTTCTATGGAAATAATTATATATAATTCTATATAATTCTATACAATTATATATCATTTCTATCCAATTTTATCGGGCCATTTTTTTTTATATAATTATATATAATTTATACATAATTGTATCTAATTATATAAAATCTTTTTTACTCGGGTATATTGAAATCAAAAAATGATCAGTTGTCTGCTTATCATATTTTTCTAACAATATTCTGTCAAATCATTAATTTTCAAACTATTTGTTTTAACAACCTCTAATATTCTCGTTTGAAAAAACTTTGGGCTATTTCTGTAATACTGTTACAATTACAAAAATTAGAAAAACAGTTGACCCTAAAGGCCATCCCTGCAACTTCCTGCTAATTTCATACTTAAGCGCTTAAAAGTGCACTTACTACGTTTTTGAGCTCTTCGAGCTAAAAAATCTGGTACAAGTTTAATAAAACACTATTTCTTAAATTTTCAAACCGCAATAACTTTTGAATAAATCAACCGATTTTGACCGGGCTAGCAGCGATCGACGTGGTTTTTTTTTTTTATGTTAAAAGCTGATTAGTTACTGGAATTGATCGGTAAAGCCGTTTAAAAATTATTCCAAAATAACCACATTTGAAAAAATTTTTTTTTTTTAGTTTTTTTGAGATTTTTCAAAATCTACCGGTTCGAATCGGTCCAAATTGTATTCAAAATCTAAGTTTGATCACGTCTTTTTGAATGGCACCAACCGCAATGAAATCGGTCGAGCCGTTCAAAAGTTATGAGAGATTTACATACGGCCACACACACACACACTCGATTTTCGAAAAACGGCGTGAAACCAAAAACTTCCCAACTTTTGAAAATTTTCAATTTTCTTAGCGGGAAGTTAAAAAATTTTTTGAGTCTTTTTTATTCATCATATCAAGATTGAAGGATATCCGTTAACAATTACATATTTTTTTTATTCATCAAGTTATAATTAGACCATAGTACGTAGCATGACAAAAATTCTATAAAAATATTTTTGTAAAATATATATAAAAAAAAAAATACGTACTAACCACGGTTTGTATTTTTTAATTTTTAGTTAAAAAACAAATGAATTTTTAAAATACTAAGTATGATAACAGCATTTAACTAATTCCAGTCACAAATTCTTGACAAGAATTATTCGATAAACCAAAAAAATATATTCTAATTAAGTATAATTTTTTTGTTGTGTTAAACAAAAGTAAAATAATATTAAAGTGAATAATAAATAATTGGTAACAAGCATGGAAAAAACATGGAGTATTTATTTGCTGCAAAACATATCTAAAAAAAATAATCTGTTGAGAACGAATAATCCGAAATGAAATGAAGAAGAAATAGGGGCCCCTAAAAGAAGTCGGACCGCTCCTGGAGAATCTCCCGCTTGCTTCATTCCAAAGCATCGTCTCGTATGCATCGTCGCCGTTGTGGAAGGTGGACGCATTCCATTCATGTTTCGGTTTTCGGTACGTATAACGCAGTGTGAGAGCGTCATTGGCCCAACGAGGACGCTTGAACTCAAATTTTTTTAATGAACCTTATACTCGCCGATTTATTAAAACTTACATTTATTTTTGATTTTTCTAATCATATTAATTAATTAATCATTAGTTCTCATGTATATAACGTCTTACTGCTTCTTAAAATATTATTTTATAGTTAATTATTCTTCAGATCATATTCAAATTCATTTGTCATAGTTGTGTGTCCTACAAACGCGACTTCGTAAATGTTGTAGGATTTACCCACAATCTAAATAATGGTAAGTTATTTTTCATTTGTAATTGTATTTTATTTTATAAAATTTATTGAACATAAAGTTATTAAATATATGAAGGAAATACAGATTTCATAATGAGTCAGCGGGATAATAACATTGTAGTTTTAAACGAATAGCTTAATGTTTAATATAAGGTCGTCATATCAGGCGGATGACGAATAGAATCGTGGCGTCAAGGGACGACGCAACATTTGAACTATTCATTGTACAACCACGTGGGCCATGTATAGTAAGTGAGCGTGGCATAAGTTTACTTTTCAGGGTTAATTTTTTTTTTTTTTCAATAATTAATTTTGTTTTATTTCTTCATGTTAAATATACTGAATAAGTATCGCCAACTTTCCTTATTGATAGTTAATGTGTACGAATTAGAAATAATTATTCAATGCCAAGCAGTTAAATTTTTTTTTTCATAGTTAAAAAAGTCAGATGCTTACTCTTTTTATTATTATGATCTTGAATAATAGATGGTGAATTTGAAATTGAAATATAATTTTATTTGATGCTAAAGAATTATTATAAATTTCTCAATTTATTTTAGATTGTCGGTATAAATGATACTTAAGCATATTTGGATTTCAAATAAAAATGAATCTTGAATTCTAAAACTGGCTCTAAGTTTAAAAACAAATGAAAGATAATAAATAAGATGTCTTTTCATAATTTTTTTTACGTTGATCATTACTATAAATTATTTACTACGAAAAAAATTAATTTTAGATTTCGAGTGCAGAAATAAAAAAATATTAGACTAGGTAGTATTTTGTATTAAATATTTTGCTAGGATAATTGGTTTTTAAAAAGAAAATGTTGAAAGCAATAAATTGATAACAATTAATTATAATTTGACTTTTTGTTACATCATATTAGGGTTTCTTTTTTATCCGAATTTCATCTGAAATAAAAAACAAAATTACAATTATCATCTTAAGACTCCAATTATTTTATTCGAAAGTTAGAATTTTATGAATCATAATGATTGATTCAAGATTAGAGCATATTAATGAAAAGTATATGACACGAACAAAAATTTATCGTGTTTAATTATATATTTTTTTGCAATTATATTTAATATATATTTATATAATATCTTTAAAGTCAAAGGATAGTTTCGAATGAATTTACTATAAGATAGTATTTATAACCAGTGAGCACAAATTATAATACTCAAATATGAAGCTTGGTAACTGAGGCACGAGGCGGTATTTATTTTTGAGTACTATTATTATTTTTCCAAGCTAATTATTGGTACCTTTGTAACAAATGTTTGAAGAAACACCTCCTAATGAGTTGGGATTAAAAAAAGGTCTTTTCATGAACTGAAATCTCTATATTAATTATAAAAGTTAGTGAGTATTTAATTAATATATATATATATATATATATATAAATACATTAAAGACTAGTAATCATGTACGGCTCTTCGGTCACTAACGAAAATATTTTTTAAAGTATTCAAAAGACGTTGTTTATAATACAAGAAATAAACTCATAGTTTAATTTTTGGAAAAAAATAATGATTATTATTAGCTAGAATTTTTTCTATGAATTTTTTTACAATATTTTAATACTTTACAATTAAAAATGTTATTAAATAATCTCATAATCTTTTATCATTATTATAAGTTAATATTTATATTCAGGTGTTTGGATAATGGAACAAAAACTATGTATAAGAATAAGAAGTAATATTCAGAAACATCGATTTAATAAGACAGCAGGTGCTAAAGCAGATGTTTTCTCTTCTTGTTGTTATTCGTATTCATATCGTTGTGATCTGCTAAAGAAAAGTTTTTAAGTACTTATAAGAATTTCTGAATAGATTCAATCTCATGATTTATTATTATTATTACTAATATTACACTCATTTTATAAATATAATTTTATTTTATATTTACTTTTTCAGATAAAAAGCTGAGAGATGTTGTGATGGCGGAAAGACGGCGGCTTCCGAGCTCGGAGCCATCAAAAAATTCACCACTTCCTTCTTCACCACCATCAAAAAAATCTAAACTATCGGAAACTGATGAAGATATCGGATTAGAGGCAGAAGAAGAGGCTGACATAAGTCTTGAAACGAGCGAAATATTATCAAGAAGTAGTTCTTCAGAAAAAGATAACAGCAAAGAAAATCTGGAGGTCGATGATCCAACTCCTGGTCCTTCAAAGGACAAGGAAGACTCACAAGACGTTGAGAATTCAACAAAATTTTTGGGTAGGCAAATAATGGGAAGGAAAACGGATGGTTCATTAGTTGGTGAGCATGCTCATTATCAAGAATTATCTCAGATCGGTGATGGAGCTTATGGGACTGTGTACAAGGCCAAAGATTTGTCAAGTGGTCAAGTTGTTGCGTTAAAGAAAGTTCGAGTTCCTTTGACGGAAGATGGACTTCCTACATCGACTCTAAGAGAAATCGCTGGATTAAAACAATTAGAAAGATTTGAACATCCAAATATTGTAAGACTCTTGGATGTTTGTCAAGGAAATTATCTTCAGCTTCCAACCAATGCCAAGCAAACTGAATCAATGAATCGTGGAATGATTTTATGGTTAGTTTTTGAACATGTCGAACAAGATTTAGCTTCTTTTATTTCTGTAAGCTCACCTGGGGGTTTATCACCTCATTTAATTAAACAAATGTCCAAAGAGATTCTTTTAGGGGTTGATTTTTTACACAGTCATCGCATTATTCATCGAGATTTAAAACCTCAAAATCTTCTAGTAACTCGAGATGGTAGAATAAAAATAGCAGACTTTGGTTTAGCAAAAACATACGACTTTGAGATGAGATTAACTTCTGTAGTAAGTACAGCTTTTTTTGATTAATGTAATTTTATTTTTCGTTAATTATAATTAAACATTTACATTTTTTAAAAGGTTGTAACACTCTGGTATCGTGCACCTGAAGTACTCTTAGGGTGTCCTTATGCAACCCCTGTTGATATTTGGTCCATCGGTTGTATTCTTGCTGAATTAAACAGGCTTGCTCCTTTATTTCCTGGAAGCAGTGAAGGCGATGAATTAGATAGAATTTTTCAGTAAGTATATGGTTAAATAATTTAAGAAATTAGCTGGTCATAAATTAATATTTATTTATTTATTTATTTATAGAGTAATTGGTACTCCTAGCCAAGAAGAATGGCCGAAAAACGTCTCTCTTAGTTGGACTGCATTTCCACAACGACGTCCGATGCCGTTAAAAAATATAATACCTCAAATAGACAGTGATGGCTTAGATTTAATTACCAATTTATTAACATTTAATCCTCACGTACGTTTAACGGCAGCCCAAGCTCTTCAACACAGGTATTTTGTTGATTCTTCGTAAAAAGTATTTTTTCTTGTCAATTTTTTTTTTTTTTAATTAAAAAAATTAAGTTCAATCGTTAAATAATCATTACGTTGGAACTAATTTTTGAAAAATATTTGTAAATGTAAAAAAAAAAAAAAAATTATTGGAGTCGAATATATTATTAAAGTTCACTGTGTAAATGAAACCAATTGAACGGTCTTATATAGATTAATTATTTATATCAATGTACATCATTGTTAATGACCAATCAATGTATTATTTTGCGTTAAATTTAAGATCTAGTGTAGAGTATTTTGGATTTTAATTTTTATTATATGTACATGGTACAATTTTGTAAGACTGCGATCATATTGATCTGTACTAATTATTGAAAATAACAATGCTGATGTTATTCATATTGATATTTTTATAATCGAATTCATTTCCATGCTAGCATTTAATTGATAAAATCATAATACCGTAATAGTAAGTCATTAATTAATATTTCATACACTTATTATATTTATGTATTATATATACTTTTATTTATAATTTTTGGTTTATTTATAACAACAAAAAAATAATTTAATGCTAAGTTTTAATTGGTATTATAATAAACGATATCATTGTTATTTAAGATAAGGTATTTATTATAGCTATAATTTATAGAAAAATATTTGGTCCGAAAATAAAAATGATTTATAATCATGAAGATAATTAATTAATTGACAACGTTGATTTCCTTAAAAAAAAAAACCTTTTCATAACATGTAAGCATGTAAAAGCTAAATAACTTAATGTTAATTACAAATTGAAATAATGATTTCAGTAATCAAATTTAAACGTTTCGCGCTATATTTAAAGCTAAACTATTGTTGAAGCACTTGATAATAAATAAAGAAAATTATTTTTGAATGCTTTTTTTTTTAAAACTTTATCGCTTTATTAAAAATATTTTATTATTCTTAACTTGGAAAAAAATTATACATATACATATGTATATATGTATTACGATCCACAAATTCGGTAGAATTTGGCGCCAAGGTCCGTTCAAAAATCCCGTTGCAAACGGAGCGCCAGACTACCGAATGTGTTTACAGTAAGCAGAACGGTTTTTTGAGGTTGTATAATTTTATTTAATTATACGGTACTTTTTTTCACTAATTTTTATGTTATAACTGTGGGTCATAATTAATTTTACCGTATTAATTAATTTATATTCACTTATAACAATTTATTCACTTAAAATTATTAAATTTTATCAGCACAAACTATAGTAAGCCCAGAAATTTCGATCCTGACTTTTTTTCGATGGAGAA